GGGGGGAGCAGAGGGGAACAACGCCTACGTCGCCAAAGGTCGCCGCCGATTAGAATGTAGGCTAACGACGGATTTTTCACTTCTACCAGTCTGCCGACCGCAGATACGTAGATAAACCGGAAATTTGTAACAGCTGCCGGTTCTACATACTCAACTTCGATTTTCCACATTTCACCGAGGCTTAAAATGGGGTCAGATTGCCCTACGAGTTTTCTGTACTTCCTAAAACCATATCTACTATTAAGAAACAAATTTCCATAATTGCTGTCACTGCAAGATTACAGGAGATTTCAACAACTAAAAATGAATGGTATTTTTAGGGGTAGAAAAAAAAAACTAAAGACACGAGCAGAAACTCCATAAATCCATTACATTCCACCGACTAATGACATAAAAACAAAATACTTACCCTAGCGTTCACGTTCGCTCCGAACCATAGGAGGTGGCGCAGAACATCGACGTGGCTACTCAAGGCAGCCAGGTGCACACACGTTTGACCTGCAACAAGAATATATTTTCATTAGCAATTTATTTACATTGCTTCTTCACATTTTTTAAATCCGGAAGGCATTTTACTGCCTTTTAATGCGGTTAAACTCTTAAGATAAATTGGATCAAAACCACAAAAAAGCTGCAAATCATTGTTAGGGATTCAATTAATTTCATATGTTGCAACTTCAATGATAATTTAAAGGCCGGAGCGCATATCGGCCACCCTATGTAATCACCGTAACTGAAGAGCAAGAGTATTTGATTAAACTGACGGCAGGCGAAAGAATGAAGAAAAGGATGAATAAGGCGTTACAAATTCTAGTAGCAAAAGTTTCTACTCGACATCTCAAATCCTCGTTTCTGAAAGCTTTCTTGCTCACCGAGCTCGATAAGTGAACCCGAATCATGGCGACACGATTCGTCTAAATTCTGCACAAATTATCTCTCAATGTAATTTATATTAATTTAAAATTCCACTTTGACACCAATATAAGCCATGAAATCCATACAAGCACGTAAAATTAAAATTACGGAGTTTAATATTTTCATCCACCAATGATTTCGTAAACGAACCTTTCGCATGAATTATCAGAAAGGAACAAAACTTCATATTTATTATTAAGAATTAATGTATTTTTGCGCAGGCATGTCGGCAGACTTCCTACACGTCTGATAATATAAAACCAGCTCTCGGCAATAGCGCCATGTCTATTAAAGGTCAGTCCTCCACACAAATAGCCTGCACCTCCTATTAATGTGTCGTCGTGAGTCACGCAAGTGCGGGCCAACGCTCTACTTTTGAACTCTGCCGCCCAAAGGGAAAAAAGCATCTCTGTTCAAACCACACTACTCTCGATAAACTTCCTCTGCTCGCGGAAGTGAAGGCTCAAGTCTCGTCCAGACACGTCGCCTCGGATTACGTTGTTTACAAACAAGCTCTCAATACGGGTACACTCACAAAAACAACGAGGTGCACACTTCACTACGGGTCATGAGTTGATTGTATTTTCAAAAGTGAAGGAATTTCCTGCCAAATTAAAATGTCAATGAGCGATACAGCAAAAATCTTGAGAACAATTTCAAATAGGGCCAACTTTCAAGGCGTCTTATGTTGTCTCACGTTACTACTTCCAGACTTCAGTATCCAACATTTCATATACAACAAAACCATAACATCGGGTAACAAGTGGGATTATTGGCCCTGAGCTTAAAATGCGAAATACTACTCCCGTTTATTAACACCCGCCCTATAACGTACGCGATGACACTGATTTCATTGATTTCACTGTTGAATAGTATGGACACTATTCAAGCGTTTATCTTTAAACCCCTTCGCTAGCTTAGGAGTGCATTCTACCCAGGTCCTAACAAAAAATTGCTCGGAGAAACATCCACACAAAAAATACACACTGGGAAAACACATTTAATATTTGTGGGACGTGTTTCATTTGCGGAAATGTCACAACAACATACCCGATCCAATATAGGGAAGAGTTAAAATCCTGTTTTTGATCTCCAGTTAGAGTTGACTTTTAGGATCATTGCTGTATAAATAATTTCAAGGGGGGAAAAAAAATCACCTTTTCACCAATGTTTCTCTAAGGGTGCTACATAATGGCGAAATTCCGTCAAAGGCCGCCAGTTCATTCCCGATTTCGTTCCCACTTCTTCGGGGGCAGCGTGCGTGACCTCCGGGGAAGAACAGAGTTGCTTCTCACGGCGGGGGCGGCGGGGGCGGGGCGGCCGGGCCTTCGCCAGCCCTGGGACTCCCCGGGCCGTGCGCCTGGATTCCCAGGCACGCGGTGCTTTCTACCACGCTCCCGTGACGCCGCGGGGCTTTTCAGACGCGTCAATAAAAATACCCACGGTTATCTCAAAGAACTGCTTCTTCTTTGGAGCCGCTTATCAAAATGAGATTGCATTTTCGTTGTGCTACTTGCGCACTCAAAGCTCTTACAAGCTAAAGACATTACTGCAAGTTATTACAAAAAATATTTAAACTTGATCCCATCACTTATAAATATGCACTCTGACTCTTTCCTTTCTTATTATTTCTTCTTAAGAACTGCATTACACAACTATGGCCGATGCAGGTGAAGGAAAGTCAACTATGCAAGTGAAGGCTCATCCTATCGCATACTACGATGTATTGCTCATCACAATTACACCGACGCGCCCATCTTAACCGGAAACGAAGGGTATTGCCCGGAAAAGCGAACAATAAATGCGTCAGCAAACGATCAAACGAAATTTCAACCCAGCCGAAATCCCACGAGTCAGACAACATACCTAGAAGCCTTATGTGTCGAGCGGGAACGGAAAGCATGCGGCGGAAAAGAAAGCGAAGAGTCGAGCCCTGTCAACCGAGACCACGTGGGCGCGGGCGCGCGCACTTTCACGCAATCTTCGCAGAAGGATTCCTCACTGAAAAACCCAACAGGCGACAGAACGCAGGCGAAGGCGCGCGAGGGGGTTCAGGGAGCAGCCCCTGACGGGGAGAAACGGCGAGGGGGGTGGAGGGGGCCTGGAGGAGAGAATGCGGAGAGTTGGGCAATTTCGCACGGGCGCCAGCACGTCCGCTCTTCGGGCCGGCATCCATCCGTCCGGCCGGCCGCCTCTCGGATTCCGGGTAGCGCCGGGCAAACCACACAGCTTGCATCATGCGGAAACCTAAACGCTCGCTGCCACCGCCGAGCGGGCCGTTGGGTTTACCCCCTCTCAGACCGCACTGGAACTCCCAGCGCGGCAACGGCAGACGCTGGCCACCGTTGCCAATTAGCGAGGCTCCTAAAAGGGAGCCACGGGCCCCGGCCCGGCCCAAGGGGCGGCCGCGCGCGCGCGCGCGCGCGCCTGCCTGCGTGCCCGCCGGCGCTGGGGATCTCCAGAGAAATCGCCACGGGGGCCGGGCCATTGTGGCGCGGCCGCTGACCCGCCCGCGAATTTAGGAGCCGGCGACGCGCCCGCCACCTGCATCGCATTCCTACCCTAAACCTAATGGAACTTCTTCCAGGCACTTGAGTACGTTTCCTTTTCCCTATCACATTTCCCTGTCTCGAGTAGCAATCAATGCACTTTCAAGACGGCCTAAGAATTTTTTTTTTGCCACTAGATAACGTCGCTTAACAACCCCGACATGGGAGGGAAAAGACAAGATGAACTCCCTTTTGTGACGTATTGTGACCGGAAATATTCATTCAACCCAAGTGCCATAAAAAGGAAATCGCGTTTTGTCCAATACTTGCTTGGGCATCGTCGACCGCAAGGAGAGCGAGTTGATTTCAACCACGCGTCCAGCGTCCAGCCATTTTCCGCGCCGCAGAATATCGCGAGGGACAAGGAGCGCCAGGGCGATACTTTCTCGAGCGTTAACCCACCAGCGCACGGACGAAGTAGGTGAGCGAAGTGAAGCGCCCGAGTGCGAAAGAGAACGCGCGGCTGCGTGCGGCGCGACCCGGGCGACCGGCAGCAAACAGTTCCCTCCACCTCCTCACCCCCCCCCACCCGACACTTCAACCCGAGCTGGGGATTCCCCAACATGCGGCTCCGTCATTCGACGTCTACAACTTCCATCCTCGCTGCAACGCCGCCGCCGCCGCCGAGGGAAAGCCCGTTTCAAATGGAACGTACTATAGAGCTTGCCTGTCCCCGAGAACGTTGGAACGAATGTATTTGTTAGAAATTTTGTTTGGTTATGGGGAAAACCGAGTCTTCATATTAGTATACTGAATGTTTCTAGGAGCCCCTAAAAGGAATTAGAAAGTGCGGAGTAGTGCAACGCACATTTTGCATCGACACTTATGGAAGTGCGGAAATAGAAATATCGCATCGACTTTTAGTAACTCTCAATAGCATCGACTTTTAAGTAACTGCGGACATGGAATCATGAACTAAGTTACTTGTTCCACAACAGGCAGTTTTCAATACCGTTCTCTCAAACAATTATTACATTTACAGCAATATAAGAGCCCTCCCATCGCTAATGCGCCGCAATTTCGCTAAGTTGTTTTCAAGGCTCGTAATTTACGACCCCAACAGAACAAAACATTACAGTAAGAACATTACTTTAAGAGACCATCTCTTCGCGAAACGCCCGTTCGTCTACTCCTTCATAACAACCAGACGAATGCGTGGGAAGTCTGCGCAGAACGGGAAAACCCACGCCGCTGGGGCTTTCAAAAAGGACTGCTACGTAGATTACCCCGCGTTTTTCTTTCCTAAGCGGCTTTCTATTCCCTGGAGAAATATCTGTTCTTTCTCCCACAATGTATGGGATGTAAAACGCATCTCCGCTACCGCCTGGTCGTTTCCTGTCCAATTCTCAGCAATCTTGCCAGCCAGAATGTACGTCACCGTGAACATCAACGTAATCATTCCAGCTAGCATTCTACCAACTCCTGCGTTCCGTACCCCTAACATCTCGGGGGAGTTACGAGGAAATCTCGTGCTGCAAGAGCGTCCAGAGTATCCGCCAACTCTTCCCGGAATTCTTCCTCCGTCTTGCAATGCCGCCGAGTCTAATGCTCCGCCATAGTACCTTAACGGTCTCGGGCCAGAGCGCCGGCGAGGTCCCGGTCGAGGGAGTTTCGCGGAGAAGGACGGATTCGCGAGCCGCGTGGGAGCGTGAATGAGTGGGGATCCGGATCCGATCCGCGGCGAGGGTGAGGGCAGGGGCAGGGCGGCTGCCGAGTCGGGGTGGCGCGGGGGTGGCGTGGCGTGGCGCTCGCTGCGTCGACCACCTGCGGCGCGGAAGATGCGCGCCTCGCCACCTGCGCCATCGCCGTCTCCGCCGCCGCTCCGCTCCGCTCCGCGCCGCTGCCAATTCGCCGTTCGCTGCGAAAGAGGTGCGGCGGCGCTGGGGCGACCGAGACGGCGGAGGCGGCGCCGAGGACGCGCTCACAGAAGCCTGCGTTCAGGCGTTTCATAAGCCGAGCAGCAGGTCTGCTGGGGATTCACGCGACGGCGCTGGCGGTGACGGCAGAGCGGAGCGGCGCGGCGCCGCTGCCATCACTGCGCGTTGGAGGCGCGGGGCCACCCGTGACGTAGTAACTCAAGCACTCGCCGCCGTTTAAATCCTGCTCCACGCCCACTCCACGCTCCTATCCTATCACCGCGCTATAGGATGGGTTTCTCCGTTCCTTCTCTAGCGTTTTGCAGAGGCGGGCTGTCATCGTTCACACGCGGCAATTTGCTATGAATTTTGATCTTTCAAATCTTTGGTGCCGGGCGGTGGAGTGCGACCCGACGGGTTCGTCTTCGGTGCATGTCGTCACGACGGCGAAATAAACACGGGAAACGCGTGCCGCGGCCGGTGGAGGGAGGGGCGGGCGGAAGTGCTAGCCCAAAAGTGGTACATACGCCCACGCCAAGGCTCTTGGATGGTTTCACACAACAAAGCGTATTCGAAAACATTGCGTTACAATGCAAGCAAACACCTTCCTTTTAAAGCAATAGACACAAACTCTGCGAAGTCTAGTCTGCATGATTATAGCATGCGGTTATCACTAATTTGCAAAAACCTTAATTTACAGATTCGGATAAGCATTTCTTGCTAGTGAAATGCAGCCACTCGTTTTCTATGTCTTCCCCTTTCATTTGATACAGTGCTCATCCCCGTAGGGATGGTTGTGTTTTTTTGTTGTATTTTAGTAGATCAATCTAAAGACATATTACTTTGAATTTCATTCTTTGAACTGACAAATATTAGCAATTTAAATATAACGAAAACAAATACTAACATATTCAAAATATTACAGCATGATTGCAAATTAAACCTCCCTTCACAAGGTCGTGTACCATGACAAATGCACATGGCTGTACTGTGCTACACTTAAAATGTCATCATTAAAACAATCATTAAGCAAGTTATTTATCATGAGAATTCTACTACATATTGTATGTCATTTGGACTAGACATGAAGAAAAAAAAAAAAAAAATCATGCGATTGTCATAACACACACAACCTTTTGGTGTGAAGGTTAATGTTTTTAAATTGTACTCTATTTATTTAACATTCATTTTATCAAATTTTACTGTACTGATAGCTTCTGTGATCGAATATTTTGAACAAATTTATGAAATTTGTAAACAATTTTATAAAAGGCAATGAAATAATTTATGAAAGTGTCAAAACACCGAGAGTTAAATGTCAGGAAAATGTTTTTAGTTTTTGTAAAATTACTATAGTGGTGGAGAACCAGCTGTGCTTTCACACAAACAATTCACGAACATTTGTAAATTTTAAGGTCTAGCAACTACAAAAGGAAATTTCTAATACTTGTGCAGTAAATATTTAAACTACACTAGCGAAAACTGGTCAGTGTCCAAACATGTTTCTTCACTGACCTTTTAACAAATATGGGAAATCTCAATTAATTTAGAAGTACAGTTTCATATGTTTATGCAGCTTTTTCTTCTTCTTAAACGACTCAATCAGATGCATCTTTGGAGTAAACATAAATTATAGCTTCCAACTGAGAATACAGTGGTATAGCCACCAGTTTACAAAAACTAAAGATTTTTTTTACTCACCATCATAATTAACTTCTTCCAGATTCTGAGGGAGCTGCTGTGGGTAAACTGTATATTGCAGATTTGCACTGTCTGTTTCCGAAATGGTTACAGGTTCAGTAAGAGCTTTAACACATTCCATATCACCTAGATGACATGCCATGTGTAATGGTGTGTTTCCATTACGATCCTTCATATCCACAGAAGCACCTGCTACCAATAAACTCCGAACAATCTTTGGTTGATGAGTGAGTACACCAAGATGTAACGGTGTCTGCAGATACAATGATAAATTAATACACACATTTTCAAATAAGAATTCCCACATATTTCACAATATTAATAACATAGTACCAACCTGATAATTCTCGTTCTGTATATCCAGAAAACAAGGATGAGGAGCTATGTTGATTAAACTGTACACAACCTCTATAAAACCCTGAATAATTGCTATATGCAATTGTCTGCAAAGAAAACATACCACAGTCAGTGAAATTAATTTAATAATTTCTAACAGTTTACAAAAAGATGATTTTACTTACGTATCCCCGTCTTCATCCTGTTGGAAGTACAATTCCCATATAGGTGGTACATTTGATGGCGTTTGCTCAGGAGATGAAGGTTTCAATGTGGAAGTCTGCTTTGTAGTTTGAGGATCAACAATGTTTGTAAATAGCACTGCATTATCTACTACGCTGGATGACTGACTTGGAGTAGCATTTAGGTCGTTCAAATAAGTATTATTTATTGACAAGGTTTTAAAATTATCAGACAGTCCAACATCTACACCACTGTCTAGCCTCATGTCATCTTTATATCCTTCTTTCTCTTCTGGTTGTGATTCTTGGTGTGATAAGTCCCGCGACTTCCCAGAGCAGGTAATTTCTTCGGAAATACACTGTTCAGACACTATATTCGCTCCCGACAGGAACCCAGAATCTGTTCGCGAGGAATCGTAAAAATTACTACCACTATCAGAATAACCCTTCACACAAGACTGCGATGGAAGTTCTCTGTTCACGGCAATGTCTTGTGAATCCCTTCCATGTATCCAGCTGTGGTCCCCATATGCACTTCCAGAATGTGTGGGTACTCCATGCGAGTATCTGGCTGTAGTAGTTTGCTGGCCAGATGCACAATCTGAAACCAAGTTAACATCGTCAATATGGCCAGTGGCAGGATGCTGTTGATGCCACATCGTCACTCGCACAAGCACAATAAAACATCCAGATTAGATGAACTTCATGTAACGAGTCGTTTATAACAGTTAGTTCCCCTCGCGCACTGCACTGATGAACGAATGATCGGTAGTTATTTCTTCGTTGATAAAATATCACTCAAGCATGCACACATGTAAAACGAAAGTAGGTTAACACAAATTAAGCAGCTTGTTTAACTTCTGATTCCAATGACTTAGGGCTGTAGAAAGATGACGGCTGTGTCACTCATGCTCCGCTCACGAACTGGAACATACTAACACCTCCACGTGAAATTCATAACCTGCCACTGGCTTTCACAGACACTGAAATCTCGAATAGGTTCCGTGTATGTTCACCACGACCTTCGAGATTCAGCACGACCTTTCGACTATCGCCATGTACGTCTCCGTACAGTTTGCCGCTGTCGGTGGAGGGGATACGGGAAAATCCCACAATGGGCGGAGCTACATGAAGAGCTACGTAACCATATAACAGACTATTTTCAGGGCATGAACAGATAACAATATTAACGTGAAACTTTATAGAATTGTTCCTAAATTTTACGATTTTAATATAAATTCTAATTTTATGCGCGTAACTATCTTCAAAACAACAGTTACAAGAAAATCCTAAATCAATAGCATGGCGCCCCGCGGCAACTACGACACTGGTATTTTCCCGCCGCCTTCATAATATACACGTGCATAATGTTGCGAAAATCGAAAAACTTGCATATTGAACAGCATGACCTCGATGTGTACTGTATGAAGTAGATCGTTGAGCTACGAAGCAGCACTCTGAATATGAGTGTAAACTTGAAAATTAAAATTGACATGAAAGTCTTTATGTAATATATTTTTGCATTTGCCACAATAAGCATTTCACTTGGTCTTATTTTGCTTCACTCTGTAAAGTGTAAAAATTGAACATTTCACTAATTAAATACAGCGAATAGTAAAACACTTTTCATTATCAAAGTAAAGGGGGTTTCCCCGAGCATGATAACACACTGAATAAGCTTTGGAAAACCCAGAAGTGGGGAAAACACAATATTGAATGATAACCTATCTTATCGTGGTATAAAATGTCCGAATGTATACGTAAACCCCACAGGACACGCCTTTCAAAGAGTATGAGTGGCGTAATCATGTTCAATTACCGTAAATAAATCTTGACCAATAAGAAATTTTGAACATGTCAATGTACGCCGCGCACGCAGCAAGGCCACATGCGGCCACATGACAGAGAAATGCACGCTACAGCCATCTAGCGGTCACTAGTCGAACTACTTTGAGCTTTCAGTACTTCCCGCTAGTGGGTCTCTTAATGCACAATCTACCCGGGATATTCGATTTTGAATTTATAGCAAACAACCCACGATTATCCCGTTCCCTGAAAACCAAAGCCCCGGGTTAAAAGAAAAATAACAGGACTCATTAAAAAACGGCAATAATGAATAAATTGTTGAAATCGGGCTTGTGCCTGACCGATGCCCATTGAATTAATATTGGGATTTCCCCGAAACTCTACAATCATTGTATTCGCTTGTTAAACATTGTGTTCGTCATTACCATTCCTAATTTAATTGTATGCGAGTGCGATCAAGCTATTCATTCATTTGCGTTGTGATCTGTTATTTTAATGTTTACATTTGTTCCTTTTGACCTTTTGCCCAAATATACTCCGGATTATCCGAATTCTTTCCATACAATTTATATCAGATAATCTCAATCCCAACTACTCGGATAATTGAGAGTCTACTGTGCAATTACATTTCATGTCGTAAATGCCAATTTACGTTTTCTGATGAGGCTTACGCACGATAAGATTCATTAATAAGAAAATTCAATTGTTGAAAGCATCCGGAAATTCATTATCGTCTTTTCTTGAGATCAAGAAATGTAACAACTATTATTACGAGATGCTGATTATTTACAACCCGCATTCTTCTTATCGGATAACGGCGGAAATGACGTTTATAAACTGTGCTTTTATGCAATGATATCAGTCAAAAATAAAATTTAAATAATCTTTACAGAAACTTTTAGTTTCTGATAAAACTACCTTGCGGTGACTATGCCATCTACTATGTACAACGTTCAATGAATATATAAATTTGTAAGTATACATTTAGTACACAAAAAATATACGAAATCAAGTCAGGCACTACTGACTACATTAACATAGAACTTCCACAATCTAAAAAAAAAAGTTCCGGTCTTAGAAGTGCCGTTGAAAAATATTTGGAGAATATTATACTAAACCATACTGTACAATTGCAACGCTTAACTTTACCTAGTAGGTTAAAGCAGATATAGGCTGATTCAGACTAGATCACTGCTCAACCAAAATAAAAAGTTATTTCGGAGGTAATCAGCATTTTGTACAAAATAACTTATCTTTGAAGACGTGATCAGGTACTCATTCCAAAGAATAGCTAGATGAATTTCATTCAGTGGTTGAGCGTTTCTCTCCATTGGATTTGGCCGAAACACAAAAGTAATATATTGTTGCAGATGAAAATTAGGAAGACTTCACTAAAAAAAATTATATCTTTATACTTCTAAAACCACCGACTATAATACTTCTTATATAAAACTTCGAAGTATAGATGCAAAACCCTATTAATTTTTATCTTCGATACATTTCAAATCATTGTTCCTAAAATTACTATCACAACAGTCAAATGACACGGATGATAACATTACAATTGCATCAAAGTAAACGCCTACCAAGTGTCTACTAATACTAATACATGTACATCAATATGTATGAACAATACATTCAGTACACTAAGGTATTTGTAAGTATCTATACATCGTCGAACATAATGAGAAGTATGAAATGTGGACTTTCGGAATATTTTTCCCACTTCTAGCTTTATATTTCTTTTATCTGCAATAGATATTAAGTCGAAAGAGAAGGATTGTTTTAAGTTACAACTTATAAAATTATTTCTCTAAAGACAAATTTAATTTCTTCTACGTCCAGAAGCATAATGTCTTTCACAGGCGTGTGGTAATATCTTGCATTAAACAGAAATGTATACGTACTTTATTGAATTTATATTTCAAAAACGCATAGAGGTTCCTAGTTTCAACATGCCAACTGCAAAGAGGCACATTTCAAAACCGCGATCGTGTGTCGAATAATATCGTATCCCTTGCTAATCTCGCGTGCAAAGCCATTTTTCACGGGAACCAGTGTCCATAGAACATTCACTACACGAGGAATTCTAGAATAAATTAATTCATACAATGGTCTATTGGTAGTTTATAAAAGTTTACGAAAATGTTCGCATTTCTGCATTAATGAATCTGTAATATGAGCGTAATATTTTCATGGCAAACCGTATGGCTACTATTTGCGAATAGACGTGTGTACTTTTACTCGAATATACATGTGCTGTGTATGTGACGACGGTAAATGTTAAAACGTTTTAGGTCCACATTCATTAATTTTAAAAAGCATTATCATTTTAGAAGATCTTCCTTAATCTCTGATAAGTCCCTTCCGCCACCTCACCTTCATACTGATGATGATAATCATTGTATATTAAAATTGTAAGTCAAAAATGCTAGTTTTTGTCAAATTATAAACTCAACAATTTGAAACAAATTCTGATATTTTATTTCTTAATAATCACCGGTAATATTTCTGTAGTATATATATCTTTTGAGGATTTCACACCTACATAATCTATCTTAAATGAGGTGTCAAAAGAAAAATTACGGAGATAAATGTTGTGCTTTAACTTCATAAACACTACGGATTTGCTGCAAGACTAGGTAGAGCACGAACTCAAATGTCCTCACATGACCCGCTGAACGGGCCGTTTCCTAACGCATCGATCGCGTATAACTAATAACTACGTCTTAAGATCTTAAACCCTGGTTTTCGTGGCCAAAGTGTGCGGTAAAATAATATTCTCCACACCATAATCTACAAAATGAAATCTTTTGTGGCCTAAATTTTGCGAGATTCGGCTCTACTGGCCACCAAGAATGACGAAAGACGAATTTATTTGAAGTACATTGAGAGTTAGGTTTGTATTTTTTTATACCACTAAGTTTCGCTAATATCTTTTCATATCAACGTGTATGGAGGGAGAGGGGCGTTCGAGCTTCCACATGCAATATTTCAAGGTTTAAACAGCCTTCCCATTCCCAATCTACTTGTTTTGGTAGGTAGAGGCAGAGGCGCACACGTATTAAAGTAAACTGGAGCGCACGACAAGCACTATGTATCCGAAACATCTGCAACTTGCGCCTTTATTTACGGAAAAAAATGTATGTTGCTGCAATAGGTTGCTAATACCACCGATATGAAATTATTATATGCATTTTAGTTTAAAAGCACGTATAATAATTACCTCCAGTTTATTACAAGGCTGATGATACTGAAATCCAACGAAATAGCTAAACCTACAGAACCCATAAAAAAAAAAATAAACTGGCGGTAATTTTCATGCTGTGTACATTTGAATTAAAGTCATGAATTATTTTACCTAATTACAACTGCTGTTATTCTGTGAATACAATGAAAATAATAAAGAAATAAAGGCAAGATATTTTCTTTCGAGTCTATATCTGATGACAGCGCTCTTGAATCAAAAAGTCGATAAAATGTGATCAAAGTTTTAGATGTTATGAAAGTGGGTTATTAAAATCGATTAATTTATTCCTATATACGAAAATGAACTTTTCCGTGGAATTTTGTCCAGTTCCTTTCAAAAATATAGTGCCGACTAGCGCCCTTTATCGGTAGCGCCCCATTCCCATCCCATACCTGCCATACGTACAATCGCTAGTGTTACAAGATATTCGTGCGGAAGACTGATAGCGGGGAAGAGCAGGCGGATGGTTTTCATTTTTGAGACTAGACACTTTTTCCGCCTTGGCTCTAAGAGCCACGTGCCCGCATTAATCTATTTTATTAACGGAGTGAACAATTTAGAGTATGTAGAAGAAGTCACATTGACGTCTCACGCACAGAAAAAGGATTTTGCCTTTATTTCCCAGAGTTCCTTCTGGAAATTTCCACGCGTCAGTTTGTTACACCCAATGACACGCAAATGAGAAGCGAGTGGTAATTCTAATAACTTAGCGTAAAGGAAGTCTTGCGCGTACTTGCGTTTCACTTGGGTCTCTTGAAGAAGGGGGCTTAAGAATAGAACCGAAATGTCGAAAGAGTTCAACCAGGGATTGAATTTTTACTTAAACTGCCATTAATAGCGCTCTCATGTAATGTTTCTCTTGCTTTTATTTACTTACTGAGTACAATTAACTATAACCGTAAAAGATACCATCAAACAATCCAGAAGAATGTCAACGCCGTATGAATTGTGTAAGGAAATTAAAATGTACATCTACTGAGTTTGTTACAAATCGGAAATTCCTTTCTTTTCTACAATGAACTTAAACATGTGTAATTTTGAATTTATGTAGCAAGTTATGTTTAACGTTTCTCGTACACTATAGATTGCGAAGTAAATTTTGTAATCACTCTTGAAAACTAAAAAGATGCAACACTTTTTATCTATCCCATTAAAAAAATGAATATATATTTCAGAATGCATGGCTTGGCGATAATATAAGCAGAGAAGTACGGTATAAATATTTATCTGGCGAAATCTGAACTTTTTTTAATAACTATCTTTTCTATTTGCTTTTAAAGTTGATTCCGCGCACAACACTATTTTATTTTAATTTCCGTGATGTATATTTTGATTGCGGAATTAAGGAACAACTCTGAAACCAATATCGTAATTTTCAGTCTTTTGATACAAATCAAGTTTCGGGGCAACGTGAGTGACAAACTTATTTCAAATCAGAAAACTTTAAAGTCGTAAAAAATGTCAAACAGCGAATAAAAAATTGTAACATAATAAGAATGCTTAATAATTGAGATTGAAATCATCGCCTTCGCACTTTGGTAATTGAAATTAAATTCCAGATTATTCGCCTTCAAAAAGCATGAAATATTTTTACATTATTCTTGCCTGATTTCAGATGTGAATGAATGATCAAAATAAAACGAGAACCTTCTGATCATCACACTCTTCTCTGGATACCTAGGGAAATCGATTTC